CACCAGTTTTAGGAAAATATTTTTAAGTTCCAGATATCTGACTTTGTGTATAGGGGTCAGCTCAGCTATTTCAAATTCTATAAACCTGAGTTTATGGGATCAATGTTACTGAATCACAGAATGGCATGCTAGTAAAGAATTTGAGGACATAGGCGCTAATGCATATTTTATAATCAAGGCAAATAAGCATTTGGTGGATACTAAAATCACACAGGGCCAGCAAAACTTTAGTGACATAGAATGTTCTGCCCAAACAGCTCTGACTAGTGGCCACTCAGTCTTGGCTGCCCTTTTCCTGGTGAGAAAGAATCCTTGTACACACAGGCACATGTTCGTGACACATTGAAATGAAAAGTCCCTTATGTTGTCATGTGCAGAAAGATCCAAATTTTCATGATCCCCTTCATCTATTAAAGGAGAATTCTGTGGCCTGAGCCATTGCAGAACAGATAGGTGGGATTTACGAAAAGGGTGTGACTGAGGTGTATTTCCAGCTTTAAACACTGCAGCAGCGAAGTGAGTCATCCTAAGACTGACTGTTCAGGTTGCCTAGGAGTAGGCATTTTATTTGGGCCGTCTGCGCGGATATGAGTTAATCCCAGGTACGTGTAAGGTGGTGTGATCTTGCATGTCAACACAGCAAGAAGCGTAGGAAACACTCTGTCAACACACATAACCATTAGTCTGTCTACAGCTGATGCCTTTGAGCCATCTTATTGAGAATCAGGGCGACTCAAATACATTTCTCCTAGCAGTACAGATGGATACCAGGAAACCGAGCAGATGCATTGTAGCTAATCAGGCAGAGGCACAGCAGGGTAACTAAAAGCTAGGATTCACATGCCTTCATGAACCTTAATTAAAGAGCGCGGTGCCTCCTTTTGTTTTATCTGTTGCCAGTGTTTGGTCTCCTATTGTGACAGCTTTTTTTTTTTTTTTTTTTTATTAACCATCAATTTACTATGATAATCTAATGGGGAGACAGAAGAGTACCATGTCTTTGAAAGAGCAGTAATAGTTGTGGCTGCCCAAGAGTTAAGGAGCTGCTGCTCCTGCAGCTGCAAACCAACATTTGCAAAAGCCAAGTGCAAGGGAGGTGGAGAGAGGGGGTGGGGGGGGAGGAATCCGAGATACCTCAGAACTCATCTTGCACTGTCTTATGCAACAGCCAACAGAAACCAAATGTCCTTAAGGGAGAGAGCGCTAAATTATTGAGCAGGCTCTTAACAGCAGGCAAGTGGAAAAGGCATCTGCAGATTTGTGTTTCATGCCCCAGTAATAAATACAGTGTTGAGAGAAGAAATCTGTCGTAGTAAACGCATGGGGATGGGGACAGACTGCTAACAGGCTCTTCCATCTTACAGAGATTTGAGGCAAAGGTTTTTTGGCTGGGCCCAATGCCCTTCCATGTGAGCTGGGGGAGGGAATGGGGTTGAGGAAGAGATACCTAACCTCATAAATAACTGGGCTTCCTGTAGTTGAGTGATTAAATCCCAAGGCAGTTCAAAAAAAGCCAAGGAGAAACTAGGCGCTGTGGAGAATGTATGAAATGTATCTTCTTGCAGGGTCTGGAGTAAGAAGTGTGTTGCCCCTCGGATCAAGCTTCTTGGGAGCAAGAACAATCTCTTATTTGCCTTCTCTTTCTAGTTCTCTGAGTAGTCCCTGGCGCAAAGTACTCTACTCAATAAATGTTTCTTGAGCCTAGTTTTGTAGACGCTTCTAAATGACACAGTCTCATATCTGTCACTGGGAGGCAATGAAAAGAGACATTGTATCCTAACAGTTTGCATATAAAGATAGTTGAATATCCTTGGAAAAAGCATGGGATTAGGAATGAGAAGTCCTAGGGTCTATCTGTAGTCTGCCTTTTAAATTCAAAAGATTGTTTGCTAAGATACTTAACCTCTCTCTGCGCCAGTGTCTCAAGATGATCTATTTGATAGTGACAAAGGGTGCTAATCGGCTAGGCAAACTGCTCTAGGCTGTGTTACTCCTTTATATCTTCATCACTCCTAAATCTAGATAAATTCATATTTTTAGAAGACTGTTTCACATCCCTCCTTTCTTCACCCCCCAGAGCAATGAACTGCACTCGTGGAGATTAGATAGACCAGAATCATTCAGAAATGAAGATATTTAGAGTGTCTTGGTGGTGGGCCTAAGTGAAGGTCAGCCCTGTTTTAAAACCCTTTAATGCAGCGCCCCAACTCTGGCTCTTCAGAGGAGCTATGCTCGCTCACTCGTCACTAAAAACATTCAATCAAAGTGGCCCAGGCTCAGTGACCTCATTCACTCATCCTGCCGTGCCTGCTTGACCTCAGCTCCCTGCTCCTGTCCCCTGGTCCTGGGACCATCTGGCTTCATATTCTGGATGGTGATATTGACCTCAGGTCTGCTATGTTTTGGTGACTCATTGGACATTTCCCAGCATGCTTCTCTGTAGAACACAATAGATCCAAGATGGTGATAGAAATGAGTCTTGACATGTGTGAGTTGATGCCTGGTGTTTAGTCAATTACAATTAGTAAGTTATTAAGTCAGGCCAGAGACAGAAACATAATTCGGTCTCATTGTAATCTCGAATCTCACAAGAAAACAGCTGACCAGCCCCCATTCGCCCACTATGGACTTTCTTCTAGTGGAAAAACACTGAGGAAGAAACTGTTCTGTGACCCCCTTCTCCTCATTTGCTAATAGATTTTTCTTGAAAGCAAATATCTTTCAAAAAGTACAAAATGCTTTATTTTCATTAGTTACTTGCGAACCACAGAGGATGGGGCTCATAAAAGAACTTCGATACTGAATACGAGTGAAGATTGGAAATTTTCCTTTAAATTAAACCTTGAAACATATAATTTCTTGTTCTTGAATTTTTGACCTACATAGCGGATCGCACTGTAGGGTGAAAAGTATGGATGTAGATTGGCCATTTCTACTGGAGGTGACAATTCTCTAGCCTGAGGACCCTTGGATTCTGGGGGCCTTCAGTCGACAGCTCATGTGTTAATTTAGGTTTATTGTGCAGATATGTCCCAAACAACTTCATATTTGCTAAAAACACTTCAGCGGACTGAGCACAAGGTTGGGTTCATGTTTGCTATATCCCTGCACACACTGCCATTATGTACCTCTAAAGGGCTAATGTTTATTGGTTCTCAGTTCTCAGCAGAATATCTTGGAGAAATACACCCCTGTGCACTCTCAGCAGACCTGTAATGGTATTTCTAACATTGCTAGGGATTTGTGTTCATTGTCTACTGGTGACTCAGCATTTGAGGCTAAATGAGCACATTGAATTTGCTCCAGGGCATTTGGAAAAGCACTGGAGTTGATATAGCCCTTGCATTTTTGTTACTCATCCTTATGATTCAGCCAAAAGCAAAAATTGAACCCCCATTGTGTAGGTGCTGACCATCATCCTGGAAGCTCAGGACAACTACACAGAATGGAGAGGTCATGGTTCACTTCTGAGAAGAGTGTAAATGGCACAGAGAGAAGCTAAAAAATGAAAGCGACAGAAACAAGTTAACACACCCACAACCAACTATCTTACTGTTGTACTGATCAGAAATAACCTTCCCAGCAGATTGATTCAGGTGGTATTTTAACTGCTCCTAGGGTATAACTGCTGCAGTGTTCCATCTGAAACCCATGTCTATCCGAGTCCATTGTCTTTCTAATCCATTAGATGCTTTTTTTTAAACAGTTGGTTAGTTAGATTTTAGCTGCACACACTCTAAGCTAGTGAATAACATTACCGTCCACTAGTTGAGGCCTCAGGATCCAGCTCACAGAATTTTGACAACATAAAGGAGATAGAATGAGAAGCAAGCTCGTGATTCTCTTTAGTCCTCTCTCTCCTACCCACCCCTACCCATCTCTCACATGTATTCTTTATTTTAAATGCGTATGTGTGACAAAGAGTATTAATGTGACCACTGGAATGACGTGCATAGAATGCATTTGGGGCACAGGCCTCTTAACCCCTCTTGCCCTTCCTGCTGCTTGCCTCTATTCCACATTTATGTTTATCTACCCCCTCCTGACCAGAGACAACCCAGCCTCTTGGGAAATCAAGACCTCTGAGGCTATGATCTAACTGTGTCCTCAGGGTTGTGATCCTTTGGCATTTTTCTTTCTTAATTGATTGGAAGTCCTTTTCCCACTTATCACCAGAGCCGTTTCACTGCCCCCTCCCCTTTTTACAGGTTGCTCTGGAATGCTTCAGAACTCAGGCAACTGTCCTTGGCACCCCCTTTGAACGTCTATAAGGACAGCACCGTCCAGAGTTGTTTTAAGCATTTCTCAGTAGCTTTAAGGACAAGCAGACAAAATGGTTTGGAAAATCCAGGACGGGGCTGATTAGGGGGAACTTTGCTATGGGACGCGCATGGTGCTTGCCTTCCCCTGCTCGGCTGCTGATAGTACTTGGAATGCTTGAGAGTGCCCTAAATGGTTGTCTGAGAACTTCCCCCTTATGATAACTAAACTGTTTCTCTTCCCAGATCCTGTCTCATGAGTAAAATTATAATTCTTAGACATCTCCTTTATAAATATCTTGAATGCAAGGGTCTCCCAAGAGTTTCTGGGCACGTAACAGAATCTTGGGGATCCAAGCTGTGGCAGGTGGGTTAACTATTAGAACTGCTTAAGTAGTTAAGATTCTGAAATGGAAATGAGTTGGGTGTCTCAGGAGGCAGTATGTTAGCTCCTCATGGCAGAAGAAGTTAAAGCAGAGGCCAGTGAGGACTCTGTGGAGAAGACAGAAATATCGAATCGGCACAGATGGCAGGCAGCCTCTGAGCTGGCCTTTATGACCCCACCTCTCGGTACACGGGCCCTGTGTAATTCACCCCTCTTAAGTGTAGGATGGATCTAGTGACTTCTAATAAAGAGAAAAAGTGATGGGATATTACTTCTGATGTTAGTTTGCAAAATACTGTGACTTCTGTTTTGTTCATACTTCTTCTCTTGCCCTTTGCTTTGCTTGCTTGATGAAGTCAGCTGCCATATTGTGAGCTGCTATACGCAGATGCTCACATGGTGAAGAATGGCGTAAGGCCTCTGGCTAACAGCTTATGAGGAACTGAGGCCCACAGTTCAACAGCCCAGAAGAACTGACTCCTGTCAACAGTTTCTCAAGTGGGCAAGGAAGCAGATCCTTCCCCAGTCCAGCCTTCAGATGACCATAGCTCCTGCCGACACTGGGACTGTAGCCCATGAGATGCCCCGAAGCAGAGGAGCCAGGTGAGCTGCACCAAGATTTCTGACCTACAGAACTGGGAGGTAACAAATATTGTCATTCCAAGCCACTAAGTTTTGGAGTAATTTGTTATGTAGCAGCAGGTAACTAATCCAGCACGTTGAACAGTTGACCTCTGATATCCCTCCCAGACATAGGATTTTATGAGTTTTTGGAGGTTAAAAAAACGAGACTTAAAGGTATGGACTATATTGATGTCTAAGCTGTTCTTTCTTTCTTTTTCTCTTCTCTTCTTATTAAACCCAGTAAATAGTTGTGCTTATCTGTTGGGATTCATTTTTCCTTGTATTCAGGCTTGTCTGCTAGCTGAAGCCTTATTAGGCAGGCCGGAAAAACTAATTCAGCCAGGAGTCTTTGAAAATCCTAGGAAGTCTACCAGGAAAAGGAAGATACCATCTGGTTGCTAATGCATGTTTTTTGCATGTGAAATAAGAGCAATCACAGCTCAAATAAGCAATTCTGAGGTGTCATTGATTGCTGTGGGTCTGAGCAGTTCTTTCTAATCTAACCTATTATTTTCACCTTTAGCACCAGGGCCCATCAGTGCTGGTACTGAATGGTTCCTTCGGTCATCTATTTGAGGAGGTGCCACAATTGCTTTCTGCATAGATATATTTGTGACCTAAATGCTATCAGTTCAATAAAAGAATTACAGTGCTTTATTGTGAGTTGAAGAAGCCCAGGCAAGGTTTTGCCACTGCAGTTCTGAAGATCTATTACTCTGCCAGACCAGCTCACTTCAGTTAATGTTTTGTATTAAGGTTTCTAGTCTTCATTCCTAGAAACAGAGAGGCAAGTGACATGCTAACGCTTGACATTGTTGAAAAAAATAAAAGATGTAGTTTGAAATGTAAGTGATTTAAATAAAAGAAAAATCTCAGCATGGTGAACAGAATTGCCATTCTTTCTCCACCAGGCACACAAGCAGATTTCACAATGCTTGAGCATTGGTGTATTTTAAACCAACAAAATGGTCTAGAAGACAGATCCTAAGGAATTCGATCGTGTGAAAAAATTCGTCCTGTGCTCTCAGCATATCAAGTACCTAGAATATATTAGAAAAAAAGCACAAGTGCCTGTTTATGCTTCTAAATAGTGTTCTGATTGTAAATTTGTTACAATAGATTTATCTTGGGAGCTGCTTTTCTCTGGAGGTGAAGGTGGAGAGAGAACAAGAGAAATTGAGGGGATTCTGATGTGTGGCGAGTACAGCTGTCACCTTTAATATCTCATCCCAGTGGCTTGATGTCATGGATAATTTCAGCCACTGAGTGTGTGCTCAGCATGGTGGTTCTTACTTTCCACTTACATGCAAGTTTCCATTTGCAAAGATTTTCACAAAATAGTTTATTATATATTTCCTGTAAGAGACCAAAGAAGATAGATCCAAGAATACAGCTGAGGAAATGGAAACCCAGAGGTTAAGTCTTTTTCTTTTTTTAATTGTGATAAACTAACATATAACATAAAATGGACGATTTTAGCCATCTTACAGTGTGTGATTTGGTAGCATTAAGTCCATTCATAATGTTGTGCAACCATTACCACCACCTAGTTTAGAACCTTTCATCACCCTGAGATGAATCCCCTTATCCATTAAGCAGGGACTCCCCATTCCTTCTGCTTTCTCTCTCAGTGGATTTGACTATTTAGTATATTTCACATAAATGGAATTATATAATATGTGGCCTTTTGTGTCTGCTTCTATCAGTATTTCATTCTTTTTAACGGGTGAATAATATTCCATTGCATGGACATACCAAATTTTGTTTAACCACTCATTGGTTGATGGACACGGGTTAAATGCTTTTAAAATTAATTAATGACAACATTAGTATAAAGTATTTTAAGTATCTATGACCAACTAATAAATGACTGTACTAATAATAATGATCATTGAGTGCTAACTTTCAAAAATACAGTACTTTCTTAGCCTTCATATAATAGGAATAGACTTCTTTTTCTGAAAGCAAGATTCATCTTTATCTTCTAAAATGCTCAAACAGAAAGATATTTGAAAAATGTGATTTTTTTGACCAAGTGGATCTACTGAATGCTATAGGACATTTTTCTGGTTCTAGTGTTGGCAGGCTAGAGTTCCTTTGGGGGAAAAGTTGGTTTCGGTAGCATGATTTTGGAGAGCCTTTCAGGAGGTCTCAGGAGGGAGGTCCAAGAGCTCTCTCTAATATGCATATGTGGATGTGGATTCTTGGTTCCTGTGACATTCTGGCTAGAATTTTGTTGATATTCATGAGTGATTAGACCTCGAGCAGGCAAATGATCATTCCCTATTGGAGACATGCTATGTGTTTGGGGTTTTTGTTACTCCAGTCTCTCATCATTACTCCCAGTATTACTGCTGCAGCCAACACAATTAAGCTTGGAGAATGGGTTGGAATGTAGGATGGGAGAGAAACTACAGGCAGAGCTCCTGGCAGTGGGTCTGAGATGGAGAGGTTGGGTTGGATGGACAGAGGTGTTTCTAACCCGCAGTTACATGAGGACAAGGGCTATTCTGGTGTGTCATCAGAAACCTTGTGTTTAAACACAAGCCGATTTGGGAACGTCCGAGGGTAAGTAGGTGTCACAGACAAGAGGAATGGGGGTATATTTTGTTCTATAGTTTCTGCAGGTCTTTGTCAGTTTTAGTCAACTCGGTCTCGTATATTTGGAGACTTATATTAGAGTCTTCTTTCAAAATACTTCTCAAACTCTGAAAGTTGCATTAGAGGAGGGGATGAAAATGCCAGCTGCTTCTTAAACTGGGGAAGTGGGAACACAGGTGTTAGGAACTCTATGATTCTTTATACATTCTGTAGGTTTTATAAAAAAATCATATACATCTTCTGATTTTGCAACAAATTCTTAAAAATTTAAGCCAAGTAGTTACAATTAAAATGGATAATAATAGCTTTTTGTTTTTGAAAAGCAGCCCATGCCCTTAATTAGATCACTATGTATTCCACACAGCATCTGTTTTCATGGTGCTTGCTGGAAAGTCTAAATGAGTGATATTGAATAATAATGCCCTGTGTCCTCTACCACTGAAGATCCCAGATGTGGTCTGCCAGTACCACTCCAGTTTCTGGGATTGGAACTTCTCCCTAGCCCACCTCTGTAGTTCTTATGTCAAGATCCCAAATTGGCTTGTGTCTTCAAGGGAACATCATGTGGCTCAAAGTCGAAGTGACTCACAAACCTGAACATAGTTTATCTACCTATGCAGGATGGTTTTTTGAGGGAAGCTGCGTTGTCTTGCTAGCAATATTATCATAGTGCCTTAGTCATGATGATGGTAGCACATCCCGAAGTAAATGCACATATTAAATATGACTATAAGTGTAAAAGGAAACTAACATAGAATCTGGAACATGGTTAGTGTTCAATACATGATCATTCATTTTGAAAGCATTGGAAAAAGTCTATGTTGGGAGCATAGACTATTTTCCAGGCAGAAAGGATATAAATGACTGAGCATAAGCTGGACTTTTTAGCACTGCCTGCCAAACATTTGTATTTTTCTTTGAGACATGACCTAAAAGGTTTATAGGCTGATTCTATACGAGTTCTGCACATCCTGCTTTAGGATGGAGGTATAGAGTTTGGTGAGATATTTCAAGTGGTTCTAGAGTCCAGTTCTCCATAGAAAAAACTTAAATCCTTTCCAACATCTCTGCTAAGTGAGCATCAATCTGTTTGAATATCTTATTGAGCAGAATCTCCCTACTCTTATTTCCGAAATGAAACATTTGCCTCATTTGTGCTTTATGCACAGTAATTATGCCATTATTCCTCATAATTCTCAATCAGATCAAGTGCATGATGGTTCAATTGTATTAATTATAAATTGTTGGAGGAAAGTTGCCCATAAATTCTTACCTCTTGCATTAGTTTCCTAGGGCTGCAGTAACAAAGTAGCAGAAACTGGATGGCTTAAAAACAACGTAAATGTATTACCTTACATGTCTAGAGGCTGGACATCTGAAATGAGGGTGCTGACAAGGCCATGCTCTCTCTGAAGGCTCTAGGGGAGTAGTCGTCCTTGGCTTCTAGTAGACCTTGGCGTTCCTTGGCTTGTAGATGCTTCATTTCGATCTCTGCCTCTGAAGTCACATGGCATTCTCCCTTCATGTGTCCGTGTGTCTGTGTCTCTTCTCCTCTTCTTCCAAAGACACCAGTCATTAGGATTAAGGGCCCATGCTACCCCAGTATGACCTCATCCTCACTTAACTAGCGACATCTGCAACAACCTTATCTCCAAAGACGGTCACATTCTGAGGTACTAGGGGTTAGGACTTCCACATGTGTTTCGGGAGGAGTGCAACCCATAACACCACTCAGTCTATTTTTCCCATGTTCAAAAAAAGGGATTCAGCCCTGCTGAGTCTCTAGAGAGAAAATTTCTCAAGAAGTGTTAAGAACTTGGGAGCTGTGAGGATATCACTTGGCATTCTTATACCCAGTGATATTATGGGAGGTTTTATAAAAGGATACAACATTGCAGATCAAAAGATTGCTCTCTGAGTGTTACGATTTTATTCCCTACGAGTTCTTATTAGATTTTCTTTGGTTCAGTTTGAGTTGCAGTGCTGTTATGTTTCTCAACCTTTTCAAACCCATATAATACTTTTTTACTTTATCCTCTCTATATATCCCCACCAAGAAACCAATTTTATTGAACTTTGCTTTTGGAGATTTTGTCAATAAACATTAGATCAATTCCGTGTGCTTAGCCAGATACACATGTCTGGTGTCTGTATTCTGAGGCCTTCCTCTGAGAGGGAGCATACTCCTCTCCTCCCGCTTCAGAGTCGCTGCAATAATAATATGCTCCTGTGGTTTAGCGTGGAGCGAGCGCAGAGCTTGCTGAAGAACTGCTCATAATGCTTTTTCAGCAACTCAACACAGCGTTCTGTCCCATGTCTGAGGACAGGCACTCCTCGACAAGTTTAGTTAGAGTTGCTCCTTTATAAGAGGTGACCGG